CGAGTCAAGAGTTGATAAACATCCTTTTAGTGCCCAATTCTTAAGTGTTTCTCACTGGATGCATAACAATGAATTCATTACCACTGGTACACAATTTGCATTGTCAATGGGGGGAAAAACATTGAAAGAGAGAGGGAAGTATATCAGTTTACAGACCCTGGAAATATGTGACTTATCACAACAGACCTTCTGACAAGCAAGGACTAGAAGAAAGAAATTGAATAGTGATATTCATTCTGCTAGTGTTATTCCTCAAAGTGAACACAGTAAAGCTTCACGGCTCATATAGGACAAGAAACCACAATCCATATATTGCATGATTCCAGTTTCACATTTCACAGCAAGATATTTAACCGGAGTTTTACATTACTATTCAGCAACAACCGAGTAACAATGAAAATTGATGAATGCATAAAGATCTATTCGCATGTATAATTAGATTCCTGCCAAAAGCGTATCTTCAAGCAAGTTTTAAAATGTCTTTTTGATGGCTACATGTGTCTTTGGTCACTAATTGTTATTCTTTCCTAATGTAAAAGGTCAGCAATATCAGCTGCGGCAAATTTAGAGTGACAAGAATGAGATCTGAAGCCAGCACAAGGCCAACTGACTTGACAGGAGCTGCTATACAAAAAGGGAAGGTGGCAAACATTATCCAGGGAAAAATAGACATTTTTAATTAGCTTCTAAAGAAACGAGTGCCGTGCAAACATTTCTGAGTTTCTGCTCATTCAATTGTCCAACGAACCCATTGTCACAAGCAGTGATATGTTGATTCCACTCTCTTTTTTTGGGGGGGGGGCATGGAGAGAAATATATGCTGGAGTTTGATTACTGCCCTATGCAAGATTATTCTATTCTCTATTTCACTTTATGTTTTAAAAATCTGTTTATGTCTGCTTATCTGAGAATGATATATGCAGATAATCTTTGTTTTTAATGCAGCTTTTAAAAATCTTCTTCTCTGAAAGAGGACGCTAACATTGAAGTTAAGAATTAAATTACCTTACCTTCGATTTTTGCATATTCTGATAGCCGAGTATAGTTAGTCAATGCCGCTTGTTCTAAGCATTTACGGATGACAGCTTTTACCTCCTCTTGAGGGACAGGAGTAACTATGTCTTTCATCAAAACCTTGATATAAGGAAGCATTGATTTATTATGTCTTCTTAATTATTATTATTTGTAAAATATATTTTATCTACCCTCCCAATGCCCTTTGTCTCCCTCTTCTGGCCAGAAAAGAAGACAGCAGTAGCCTTATCCATTGGTCTTTGAAACTTTCGGACTCGGTCTCTGAGGCCCACAATCTGATTTTTTAATTTATATTTTGAAACACTGCATGAGATGATGAAGGATGTGCAACAAATCTACGTAAGACATACGTTTTATAAAATGTCTACGTGGCATCTCAAAGTCACAATTTTCTTTCGCCTTTACCAAGATCGACTTTTGACCACATTTAGAAATTAATTATCTTCTCATACTGCAACACAATAGAGCAATATCATCTGATTTTACCACTTGATGAAACTCAGGCACAATAAATAATATAGCTCTTAAGATGCTATGGGACTGCGTGGTTTTTAAACCTAATGTCTCTGGTATTTACAGTTTCAAGGAATTTTATGACTGTGAAATCACTCTGCATATGGCATTAACACACATATACCAATAAAGAAGTCACAGCTCCATAAGATAACAGACCAGAGATTATGTGATAGGAGTACAGATTGATTTTGTATGATTTATAGAATGTTTTAATTATATGCAACCATAAATTAGAATATCAAGCTTCCAAGTGTAATTTCCATACGCTGATGATTTGAATGAAATCCATAGCTGTGCAAGCCAAAGACTTTTTGTGCAAACACCAGTCTCCTCAGATCGGCTTCGGAGGATCTCCTCAACCTCTAGAATGGGTTTCTGCAGATGGAAAGAATCGTTCTCTCCTCGGTATATTGCTGAGCAAAGCAGCCTTCACTCTCCACAGTGAAATAATGGCTTTTGTATTTAAGAGAAAAGTAGCTCAGTGTTCCATGTACTACCATAACTCAATCTCTATATACGAAGCTTCATTGAAGGGATAGGTTGATTACTTCAGAGTAATGGAAGGACCATAACTCCTGAAAGGACAACTTGAGTCAGCCCAACCATGTAAACTAGTGTATACAAGGCCTAAGGTGAAAGTAGGATTAATAGAATTATGCACAGTAGGAGAAAAAATATTTATCCCAATCATTGTTTCCAAGAAGATGGAAAGGCAAATTAACTTCCTCTCTTCAATCCGATATAATCCAAACCAACTTAAATTCTACTAGATGAAGATGGCCAAATATGGAAACTAGGTCACTGCCTTAGCCTTTCAATAATCTTAACAAAATAATAGAGAGTTGGAAGGGACCTTGGAGGTCTTCTAGTCCAACCCCCTGCTCAGGCAGGAGAACCTATACCATTTCAGACAAATGGTTGTCCAGTCTCTTCTTAAACACCTCCAGTTGTGGAGCATCCACAACTACTGGAGGCAGGTTGTTCCACTGATTAATTGTTCTAACTGTCAGAAAATTTCTTCTTAGTTCTAGGTTGCTTCTCTCTTTGGTTAGTTTCCATCCATTGCTTCCTTTCCTGCCTTCAGGTGCTTTGGAGAATAGGTTGACCCCCTCTTCTTTGTGGCAGCCCCTGAGATATTGGTCTTATGCTTACCCGTTCCAGGAGTGATAAAGTAGCTTTTAAAGCTCCTTCTGGTCGGCCAAATGGGAAGCAATACCTAGAAATAATACATAGTTTTTTAAAAAAATATTTTTACTACATATTACTTTATATATTTACATCAATTTGACAAAAAGAGTAACTTTCCCTGCCTACTTTCATTTGAGTTCCTGTGCCAATAAGCACTGGCTTAAATGAAACTACAGTAATCGAGTTGCACATTTAAGTTAATGCATGCTTAAAAAAAATCAAGAATTTTTAATGAATGAAGAAGATGTGTAAGGCTCAGATAAATTGAAATCTTGGTTAAACACATGAAATGAGTTATGGCTAGATCCAGCATTACTTCACATATAATTTATACCATTACAATTTTATTTGTTGAGACTGTGGAGTGCTACTATCGTTCCAATAAATGTGAGCAATGTTGATTAATTCCCAGATTAGCTGGGGGATGGGTATATGTTTTGTACTCACAAATATTCTCTTGATATGATACTTGGAGTTCTATCAGGAAAGCAACTGAGACAACTGAGGATTTCAAACCGGAAATGATGTTTAGAGTAGAACAGAGGGAATACCAATCAAGAGAATTGTACCGGCTTTCCTATTCTGTATAGATCTCTTTTGATTTCTTCAAATTAATAATTTGATGATTGCTTTTGGAAACTGGATTTTGTATCATGGCTCATTGCTACACTTAAGATGAGTTAGGAGCAAGGATACCTATTAGTCCTGTAACTGCATGAGTGTTTCCTATTCTGTATAGATCTCTTTTGATTTCTTCAAATTAATAATTTGATGATTGCTTTTGGAAACTGGATTTTGTATCATGGCTCACTGCTACACTTAAGATGAGTTAGGAGCAAGGATACCTATTAGTCCTGTAACTGCATGAGTGTTTCAGAGAAAATGGGCTTCTCCATGCTTGAATCAAAGAGAGGAAAGGGCATGAGGAAAAAGAGTAGACAATTGCTAGTAATAAGGAGATAGGCAAAAGGAAGTAAAAAAACAACAACAACAGAGAACAACATGGTATAATATGGCCAGATCATGTCCCAGTCACTGTCCCTAGATAAAGAAAACAGCTGTTTTGGATTTAAACACAAAATGTGAGCCAAAGCCTGCTAATCACCATAGCATCACTTTTAATTAATATAGGTAGTCTTATAACTACAATTGGGACCAGAATATCTTTTGCTAAGCATAGTGGCTGCTAAATGAGTTGTGCCTGATTTTACCACCTTTTTTTGCCTCAGTTGTTAAGTGAATCACTGCAGTTGTTAAGTGACTTAGGCGGTCATTAAACAAATCCAGCTTCCCCATTGACTTTGCTTGTCGGAAGCCAGCTAAGAAGGTGATCATATGGCCCCAGGATGCTGCAACCATTGTAAATACATGCTGGTTGCCAACTGCCCACATTTTGGACATATGACTGTGGGGATGCTGTGATGGTCGCAAGTGTGGCGACCAGACATAAGTCACCTTTTTCAGCATCATTGTAACTTTGAACAGTGACTATATGAATGGTTATAGGTCAGGGGTCTTCAAACTTGGCCCTTTTATAACTTGTGGACTTCAACTCCCAGAATTCCTCAGCCAGGCACGCTGGCTGAGGAATTCTGGGAGTTGAAGTCCACAAGTCATAAAAGGGCCAAGGTTGAAGACCTCTGTTATATGTCAAGGACTATCTGTATCTGTATATGGATATGATCACAAAAGTCAAGATGATGGCTCTGATGGGATGATTGAAATTCTAGTAAAAACATTTGGGGTATTTCCTCTGAGGGAATGGCTGTCATCTACTGATTCAAAAAGCAAGATTTCCCCTTCCTTCTACATTCCCTCTTCTCAAGATACATCCAAGAAGATCACAAAACCCTCCCAAGAAAAGCTTTAGGTTAGAGACTTTAAGGAGGAAGAGACAGTCTTAAGGACTGTCTTCTTTAGGAAGCCCTCCATTCCTAAATGGAATATTACTCACATAACAATAGATTTCAACCATTAATAAATTTAAGTGGAAGCGGATCACCTTGGGGCAATGATAAATTTTAAACTTACAATTGCAGTTCTTCTATTAAGCATTCTGCTGCAACTCTTAATTAATTGCTACTACTTAAGCAAGCCATGATAACTCCAATGGTGGAAACTTGAGGACATGACTCCAGATTTGAAATAGACATTATTACCTAAAATGCGTGATTTGATTTTCCAATAACAATCGCAGCCGCTCTTTGATTTCTTCAAACCGCTCTTTTTCTTCTACTGTTACCGTTCCTATTCCATCAGGCCTGAAGGAAAAAACACTATGAATAACTTGAAAGCTGTCTTATGAATCATCACCCCTGTAATCCAGAGCGCGTATTTCTTTACACTCTTAATTAAAAAATAGTGTGAATAAATAGTATCATTTCAATTACAAACATTTGAAATTGCTGATGAGTCCTGCAGACTTTGTTGCATGTATGAGCCTCTGAACAGAGAATCTACTCCCTTGTTTTGATCTGCCCTGTACACTATTTAATCCTGCTGATCAAAACACCTGAATTGTGTGGATTACAACGCCCAACTTTAGATTGAAGCTAATGAGCTAAGAGGTTCTGGCTGTGCCTCTGCCTTTGGATGGAAACCATACACCTTCATATATCATGTTTTAGAAACCATTGTTGAGATATCCTTTTATCATAAACACCATTTTTCACCAGGACATGCTTAAACTACCCACATACAGATCAGGAAATACTTGTGATCAGGGCTTTTTTTTTCATAGAATGCCCAGAACGGAGTTATGGCACCTTTTTGGGATGGAATCTTGTAGGGTAGGCAAGGCGGGTTGTATGATGTGTGTGAGTTCCGGCACCCTTTTTTTTTTTTTTTAAAGAAAAAAGCACTGCTTGTGATTATTCATGGCAGGAGGTGCAAAACTAAAGTTACTGAATATTGTAGCTTTTGAGGTTCATCTTCTGGGAGTATCATTAATCTTGGTAGACTTTTGGAAGTGCAGGGGGGGGTGGAGAATGGCTGCTTGTATGCTTCTGAAACAAGCACATGCCCAGTCAACATTTCAGATGAAAAGAACAGTACCCCTGAGTCATGCCTGACTCCTATCGTTTTCTTGATAGATTTACTAAAGTAGGTTTCCATTGTTATCTTCCAAGATGTTTTTTTTTTAATTCCCATCCCAGTCTAAACCTTTGGAAACCCCATGTGTTCACCAATTAGTAAATTAAAGGTGAGAGGTGACATATAAGAAATATGAGGAACAGTAGCTTTAATAGAAATGATTGTTTTTCCCTGGGGAAGTATCAAAGATCTTGTTAAAGCGGACAAACAATAACCTATCTTGATCACTTGATCACAAAAGAATGTACTTTCTTTTAGCATGAACAATCACTGTTGCTAATACTGAACTCATTAAGTACTTATCTGAACAAGTGGTAGATTTCCCCTGATTTGCAAACAATGTAAGCATAAGACCAGCTTAAATCAAAATGCTTCATATTTTAATAAACAGTCACCAGAACCAAAGATTATAATTCTGGATAAGGATGTTTGACACCACTGTTATAATATCTAATTTATTTATTCATTTAAAACATTTATATAGCCGCCCAGCTCCAAATCCATTAGCCTAGGACCCAATATTGTATCAGCTTTAGTGTGTAAAGAGATGAGATACTAATAGTCAAGAAGGCAATTTCCTAATGGCTTTCCTGCAAAGATCTTATTGAAGACTAGCTGTACCCGGCCACGTGTTGCTGTGGCTCAGTCTGGTTTTTTTTCAAAAAAAGCATGGTTTTACCTGTCACAGGTGTGACATCTATATAATAGTAGCTATATAAAAACACGCGCGTATTTGAATGCAACGTTGTGTCAAAATTTCAAAGCAATCGGTGAAGAACTTTCGGAGATTTAAGATTTTGAACAAACGAACATTTACATTTTTATTTATATAGATTGATTGAAAAGAACGATCAACATCTTTTGCCCTCCATAGTGGGCAACCATTTGCAGGGACTTTGAAACTCATCTACTCCAGATCTCTACTCAATCTGCCTTTATAGCTTCCCTGACAGTTGTGTATCCATCTACTCTCTGTTTAAACACCTCCAGTAAAGGAGGAATCATCATTTTCCAGAGCAGTCTCTTTCCCTGTTAAAAAGCTCTTATCACTGGAGGATTTTTCCCGGATTTTTTAAAAAAAATCTATGTTCTTATATTTCCTTTTGAAAGACAAGTGGTTTTTTTTCTCCCTAATGTTTAGCTATGGATCTTGTGCCTATAAAGTAGCTAAGTTAGTCCTTTGCTGGAATAAATATTAGGCATCTCTATTATTTAGCATCTCTATTTATGTAACAAAGAGGAAGGGCCCAAGAGTATCAAAAAACATGCTTTTGTATCCCTATTCATTGCTGCCACAATGTGTGTGTATGTGGTGTGTGTGAGTATGTGTGTTTGTATGAAATCTCCTGACTGCCCAAACCTGCTCTAACTCAAATCAGAAAATAAGTCAATGATGAGTGTATTCCTTTTTTCTATGGGCAACCAATATCACAAGCATTTGTGTGTAGGGTGTAGCTAAAAGTACCTGCTTCGAAGGATAATGTAAGTCTTAAAACTGAATAAATGTTTTTTTTATTTAAACCCCCCCCTCCATGTTTGGATTAAGCTTTCTAAGTCCTTGGTACTAGGCTAGTTTCGCTACACAAAAGACTTGGCAAGGGATTACGAAGCTTGTAATGAACCTCCTGTCAAGGGTTAATTGGGAAGCTTTATGTTCCTTTTAAAGACCCAAAATGTTCCCAAGATTTTTTTTTTCCAACTGCAATCTGTATAGTCAATTTATGACCTAAAGATGCAAAAAACTCAAACTACAAATACATTAAAAAGAAATATGAATAAATAAATATTACTAGCAGGGTATATAAGCTCAATATTTTAAAATGAATTCTTAACTTCTTTTAAAATAATGAAGATTTGGATTAAAAAAAAACATTAAATGGGGAAAATAAATTGTAAATCGTACACTGAGGCTTAATGCATAAGTGCAATGAAGCTTTCTAGTCTTGTCTTCTTCATATGCTTTCAGGGCAGATCGCCAGAGCAGATCCCATAGTGCCTGCAAGTTACAGGAGGAAAATAAGAGTCGATTTCTTCCTGATCTAACCTTGATGTTAAATTCCATTGAAATGAATTGATCGAGGCTGTAGTAGCTGTCAGTAATCCTGTACACAAATGCCTCAGTGATACCAGGAAGTTTTCCATGCACTTAATGACTTCTGGGCTTCTAACTCTTGTTATGCTGTTAATATCATTAGAAGACTGCTCATAACCCTAGAAAAACAATTTGGGCTTCATTTTGATTGAGTATATGCCACAATACTACCTATTGTATGTTCTACCATAATATTACCTATTCGGTATGCTATTTAACCTTTCCAAAAAATTGGTTTAGTTTTGATAAGCAAGCATTCCTATGATCAGAAAGTGAGACAACAGCCTACTCTTTCAAACTATGAGCTTGTTTAGCATTGCTTCACCAAGAGTCAAATAGAACGACTCATTTCAAATAGAAATAATAATAATAAAAAAGCCTCAGTGCTAATTTCCAAATCCTCTGCTTATTTTAAAGAAGTTAGTTTTCAAGACTAATTATTCTAAAATATAAAAACACATTGTTTACCGATAAAACTCAGTAAGTATACAATATGTTATCAATGTGATAATTGCAACGATTGCTTGATAACATGAATGTGTAAATCTGTTACCACTAGTTATTGCATGATCAGTTCTCACAGATCACTGCCTCTTAATGTGTCAGCCAATTGCCCATTGAGGGAGAATCCAAATAGGAGGTGATATAGTTGCCCATCTCATGTTCTCACACTATTATTAAATGAAATGTGTGAATTTTTCCTTGATTGAAGCAATAACCTACGAAGTGTTTTACTGAAAAATGTCTTGACATGAGTAGAAATGTAAAACAAAGCAAAATGTGGCTAGAAAACTTGCTCTTTTATGCTACTCCTTCCTTAGTTCAAGACATCAATTTAAAACTTATGGCAAACTTGACATGCTTACTACAGAGAAAGCTGCTGATTCCAAGAAGACAAAATGGTAACCAATGGCTACAGATGGCCATGGCTGACACTTAGATTTTGAACACATTGCAAGATAAGTTGCTTCCAATTGTGCTGAGGATCAGAGCAGCAGACTGCTGCTTATTTTGCTGCATTCCACAAAACACTCCCCAATGAAAAGTTTTAAATGCCAGGGAGTGGAAATAGGGCATTCTGCCCATCCTTAGTTCAACACAGGAACTATTCTATTTCCAGCTTGCTATTTTCTGCTGACTTCAATGGGAGCAAATTTTATCATCGCTTGTAGAAATTGCCAGTGCTAGTCTGTGGAGGCAAATGAACAAAGGCTCTTTATTCCATTTTGTTCAGTTTGTCATAATAAGGTGGTAACCTTTGCTTTGGAAATGGCCTCAACAGGCTCAGTAGGGTTTGTTTTCAAGCAAAATGGAACTGGAACTGTGTTAGTCAAAACAACTTGTAGATTTGTCAAATTCAGACCAAAGGCTCTTACTCTAGAAGAGAGCCACTGGGTTAAACTGACCCTCATTTGCCACTGTTCTTTCCAATCCAGTGCTTACTTAAAATAAAATACCTAAAATCCAGCTTTAGTTGGTAGCCGAGTCATACTGTCAGGGCTTTTTTTTGTCATAGAACGCCCAGAACGGAGTTCCGGCACCTTTTTTGGATGGAACCTTGTAGGGTAGGCAAGGCGGGTTATATGACGTGTGTGAGTTCCGGCACTTTTTTTTTTTTTTTAACAAAAAAAGCACTGCATACTGTAACCCTTTCTCTTTTTTGGATATCCTAGCTACTGTCATGGAAATCTAATGTTTCGCCACCCATGCATAACCCCTGCATTTTTGTAATTAGCTTTGGTTTTACTACTCAGTGAATTTTCATTATAATTTAGGATGACCTTTCTTATGTTTCTATTAAGAATTAACTGAGAGGAGCTGAAATGTTCACATCTCAAGGTACCTCCATTGTGCTAGTATGCAGATCCTAGAGAAAAAAGAATCTGGCAGTTGAGAGTGCTGACTTGCAGAGGATTTATTAACCTTCCTATTATCCTTATGAGATTTTGTATTCCACCCTCTGGCAAGTGTGAAAAAAATATTAAGAAAGATGGGGCACTCCTCCAGATTTTCAGGAGCATTCATTGCTGCTGGAAGACAAAACCAGAAAATTGGGTTATCCGAATTTAAGAATAA